TACATTAGCACTGGAGATGACTGTGTTTCCATTGGCCAAGGCACCACCAATATCAACGTTCACAATGTCACCTGTGCCCCAGGACATGGAATCAGGTATTCAATCTTTTCCCATTTGAAATAGTATTATATGCAAATTTTGTGCTAACATATGCAGATTTTGCAGTGTGGGAAGTTTAGGAAAATACCAAGATGAGAAGGACGTTGTGGGAGTTACCGTCACAAATTGCACGTTGAGAAACACCACAAATGGATTAAGAATCAAGACATGGGCTGATTCACGTCCAACCCAAGCTTCCAAAATCAGTTTCCAAGACATTATCTTAGATGCAGTMAAAAACCCCATTATCATAGATCAAAGCTATGGCTCCAAAGATAAGAGCAAACCCGTAAGTATTAGAACAAGCAACAAGAACAACGTTCCATAAAGACTTCGTGTTATAACGATCATGACCATGTTATTATATCTTACAGTGAGTTTGAAGTATTATTATTAATGTTGTTCATGTGTTTGATATGCATGCAGCCATCTCAAGTGAAGATAAGCGAGGTCAATTACAAGAACATTCGAGGCACGACGATTTCGGTCGTCCCCGTTTCGTTGCAGTGTAGTGCTAAAGTTCCGTGCGAGGGCGTCAAATTGGAAGAGATTGAYATGTCCTTTGTTGGCTCAGAGAAGAAGAAGGCAGCTTTTGGAAATTCATGTTTGAATGCCAAGATTACAACCGTAGGAAAACAAATCCCACCAGCTTGTGCTGTTTAATTTTGAAACATTCATTTATATAGCTCATATTCTTTCAGATTTGTCAATACAACAAATTTGCCATTTTAATGTCAGAAAAAAAAATTCGGATGAAACCAATGTTTGACAAGGTTAAAAACGCGCTAGAATTAAAAAAAAAAAATTATGTTTCAATGTCGGGCTAGCCAATGTCTATTATAACATGACTTCTCAAGATATTGGCTCTTTTGGCTCATCCATCTTCACCGGATCCCATTTTTCGGACCAAATGCTCATTTGAGATGTTGAGTTCTGATAGCATCTCAACAATTTCAATGTTCATGAGGTTCCATCACAATATTTATTGGTCAATCTCAAAATCAAAAGAACCACGATCTTGAGGAGGCATATTAAGGATCCCACATTAATATTATAAATATTCATGATGAGGGGAGTAGCCCACTTATACCCTTCGTTTAGGCTCTGATACATATTAATATTTCATGGGTTCCTATTAAAACTAATTGCCAATTAGAAGAGTAACCATGTCTATTATAGACCTTTGTTAGGCCTCCCTCCACTACGCGAACAAACCAGTTCCATTGTCTTGTGGATCCAGCTCCACTGCATGCGAACATTGATGAGAAGGCGGCGGCAACCTCCATCTCTCTGAGTGACAGTGATGTTCAACTATTTGAGTAGTGACAACCTCCCTTGCTCCAAATGGCTCCAGCGATGGCGAACAAACAAGCAATTCGATGATTCTTCAAGGTGAGAGGTTACCTCAAGTGATTTTGAACATTGCGGCACAAACTTCGACGATCGAACATCTACATATTTGCAATTCTTCGACCTTCGATCTGTACAATCGATTTCTTTCGGCACTGATCCAGTGATTACCGAAGCCTTTTTGGTAAGGATCAGTAGGTAAGACTCTTAAATCTATTTTTAATAGTTTTATTAGAGTATTCTGAACTGAATTACTTTTATTTAAGCTTTGGATTTGTTTGAAAGGTTGAAGAATGGGTCTGTTTTTTAGATATTAAATGTGGTGGAATGGAGGTGGGCATTGGTTTTTTTATAGGGTTTTTGACAAGAAATATTAGCAATCATACTTGATTTAGGGTTAGGGTAAAATGAACAAAAATGAGGACACCATTCAAATGTCATACCAACTTTGATGTAATAAATTGATATAAATAAATGAAAAGTAAATGTTGAAGATCAGTAGAGTGAAGAAGTGAACAATGTATTTAATGTATTTGAGATTGATTTGATGCTTATTCCGGTTGGGACATTCCATAATTTGGCTCTCCAAGAAGATCATGAACTCCATGGACATCGGGTAATAATGAGTATTGACACTTTGGACGAACTGGTGACACAACTAAGATCATAGTCATTTTCAAATAGCAGTGCTTGCGATGAGTTAGTTGTTGTGCCCTTATTTTAAGTTATATATACACACATGTATATACATACACGTGTGTGGAGCTAATTGTAGTAGGTAACAAAAATATTTGATGTATTTCAAAAAATGTCACCAGTTTTGCAAAAGTTCAAATATAACAAAATATTTGAATTTTTATTTTTTGAAATTTTTATTATTCCAATTTTACCCTTATGATATCTGATATATATCTGACGTATATCTATATCTGATATTCATATGATGTATATCATACATCAAATCTATATCTAATATCCATCCGATCTAAATTTGTATATGATATACATCCAACCTATATCTAATGTACATCCGAGGTAACTCAGATATAATTCCGATATACATTCGATGTAACCCTAATATAAAGTATCAGATGTAATCATGATATACATTATCAGATATACCACCGATATACATCAAATGTATGTAATATACATATAATATATATACATATATATCACTAAATATATTTCCAAATGATATACTAAATATATTTGCAACTGATATACTAAATATAAGGCATATCAAACGTTTAATTTTTAGTGATATATCAGCGGTTTAAATTATAGTTTACCCTTTCAATTTGTTGATTAATATACTAATATTATCAATAATGTTGATTACTATGTCACTACTATTTATTCAATATTAATATTAATTAGATACTAAATATAAGGGATATCACTGTTTAAATTTATAAAGTATATCAAAATTTTAATTTGTCTTTTTGGACGTGCATGGTCCAGTAAACCTTTTATATAATAACTTTATATTTCAAAAATAAAAATAAAAATTTTTGCACCATTGTTTTCATGTGAAAAATATATTGGATATAATAGTATTATATCAACACACATGTATCATAGTTATATAGTTATATTAGTAGATATAATGGTAATATCAAAGGTATATAAGTGGTAAATTAGAAGCATATTAAGTATATATGAAATATATATCAGTGTTATATTAGTGGTAAATCATATAATCATATAAGAAATTATATCAGTAGATACCATAATTATATCAGTGGTATATCATTGGTATATCAATGGTAAATAAGATAAATATCACATATATATGTGTTGTATCAGTGTTGTAAATCAATGGTTATTATACGTATATTAGTGATAAGACATGTTAGAAGGTGAGTAGATATGATGGTTCTACCAGAAGTAAATCAATTGTATATCATTATTATATCAGTGTCAGATATATTACAGATATATATATCAGATATATTAAAGGATGAATTTGTAATTTTATAATTGGACCTCCATTTTTTCTCAATAGAAATGCTATATTTGAAAAAACAAAATATGGTTGTTATTTTGCTTATTTCACTCGAATATTTTGCGATATTTGCAAGTGTCCCTGGAGTTTTTTCTTTCTTTCTTTTTTTTCAATTTTCAACTTTCCGTGAAAGGAAGAAAAACGTGGGAGTGACCAATACTTTTTGTTGTTGCAAAAAATCTGAAGAGACAGTAGTCGTTCTTTGGCAGAGAAGAAAAAGGAGAAAAAAAGTCTATAAAGGGTTGTTGGTAATTCGTTCTCATGAGCTAGTTTAGTGAGGTTTTTCTTTCTTGTATTCATGGGTTCTTATTGGTATAGAACCTAGAAGCTAGGTAGCTGTGGTCGAGGCCTCTAGAGTTATTGTATCCCATTTTATTTATCCCAAAATTATAGTATAATCCTTGTGTAACAGAAGACTGAACATATCTCGTGGTTGGGTGAACGAGTATAAATCTTGTATCATTTACGTCCTTTCTTTTATTCTACGTAGTTTACTGAAATTCGTTAAATAATTGTGTGCGCATAGTAGCAAACGATGATTTTTTCAACCGAGCCTCCAATTCCAAGACACCTTATCGTTCCACATTTATATCTTTGCTCATTTTGGAATTATAACGACAATCATATCTATTTTCTTATTGGCTCATATGGCTATCTTTATGGGAGGCGTCAAGTTTACTCTTGCATAGCTTCAATCCGCTGTGAGTAATTCAATAACTGAAGTTCTGTAGAAATTTCCTTTAGTTTAATATCTTGCACTTCAAATGTAATTTCTATCATTTCAAATGTAATTTCCTTTAGAAATTTCCTTTTGTTTTGCTTAACAGGTAAGATTTCCAATTTCATGGTGTTCGTACCGGAAAAATATCGATAGTCAAAATAAATCTTCGAGAACACTCAAAGATAGGAAAACTTGCAAAAACGAATTACCACTCCGACGATCTTATTAGTCTTTGTGCTGAGTGATAAATGATAAGTAAAAATTTAGTAAGTTTTCGCATACCAGCTACCTTAGTTTAATTTGGTATTTATAGTGGATAAGAAAGTAACCGTTGGAGAGAGAGGGAGGCTCCCGTTTGAATTAGACGGTTCATTCTCCGTGAAAACGGGAAACCACGCACTTAGTGGAGGAAACGATTGGCATACTTTGAAATGAGCTCTACTAGACAGTTCGGTCTTGGTCCAAACTGACATCATCTTTAATACGTTTATCCATGTGTCCTTTTCTTTTAATTGAATTAAACGACGACATGTCCGCAAAATCAAGAACTAAACACATGGGTTCTTTCTATTATTTGCTATAAGGTCGTGAGTCATGAGTTGTCTGCATTCCAACTTTCTCCTAAACATGTACTTTCTTCCGTATGGTTCTTTACGCATCTCTAGATCTTGTTTCTAGTTGAAATATAGCTAATAGAGATGGCTTCTATAGAGATGAAGAAAAAAAAGTGCTGCATTTGAAGATAAATTATTCAATATTTGGCAAAAAGGAATATGTGTTGTAGTTCTATGTATTAGAAAAAAGAGAAGAAATTTGATATTTCTCATTTTTATTTACATTCTCCCAGAACCCTATATGTACACGAAAGAATGATACAAAAAATAACTAAAATTAGATAACAATATATCTAACTACTTACCGCACATAACAGAAATTCTACATCTCCTGATTTATCTGACTACCAAGATAACAAGCTAACGTATTGTACATAATAGAAAATTCTATATCTCCCAATACTCCCCCAGATAGATGGTAAATGTCTAAGACACCCATCTTGGATAATAAAGGAAAAAGAGTAAGTGCAGGAAGTGCTTTGGTAAAAGGATCAGCAAGCTGGAAATGAGTCCGTATAGGCAAGAGTTTGAAGAAGGCGTCAACTATTTTGTCCCGAACAAAATGACAATCCAATTCAATGTGTTTCATACGCTCATGAAAGATAGGATTAGATGCAATATGAACCACAGCCTCATTATCGCAAAACAAAAGAGCTGGCGGGTTGAAAGGTACCTGTAAATCAGACAAAAGACTAGACAGCCATACTAACTCACAAGTAGCAAACAGCTAATGCTCGATATCCAGCTTCAGCAGATGAACGAGAAATGGTAGCTTGCTTTTTGGACTTCCAAGAGACTAAAGCATCGCCTAAGAAAAGACAAAAACCCGTAGTGGAACGCCGTGAATCAAGGCAAGAAGCCCAATCGGAGTCGGCAAAAGCTCGGAGTTGAAACGAAGAAGAAACAGGTAGGAAAATACCCTGCCTTGGAGCATTCTTTAAGTAACGTAATAGATGGTAAACAGCAGTCAAATGAATCTTGCAAGGGCGTGATACAAAATGACTTAACTTATTCACTGCAAAAGAGATGTCTGGGCATGAAATTGTTAAGTACAGAAGACGGCCA